TCCAGCTCTTTATCAAAACTGTCTACCTATTCTGGTAGCTTCTTAGTATAGTTTTTTTTGTAGGTTTTCTAATTGTACAGTCATATCAGCTATAGATAATATTCTCTATCTGACATTTGATATGATTATTTTTTCTCCTTTTTTCACTGTTTCAGCTGTCTAATAAGGTAACCACTAAGCTCATTGACTGTTTATCTTTTTATTATTATTTTTTTGAGACACGTTCTCACTCTGTTACCTAGGCTGGAGTGGAGTGTCACGATCTCTACTCACTGCAGCCTCTCCCTCCCAGGCTCAGGCGATACCCTTACCTCAGCCTCCCAAGTAGCTGGGACTACAGGTGTGCACCACCACGCCCAGCTAATTTTTGTATTTGTAAAGATGGGGCTTTGCCATGTTGCCCAGACTGATCTCAGACTTTTTTTTTTTATTTATTTTTAAAAATAAAAAAGAGAGAGAGAAAGAAAGAAAGAAGAAGAAGAAAAAAGAATAATAAAAAATTAAAAAAAAAAAAAGAATAAAGAAGAGGAAGAAAGAGGAAGAGGGAGAGAGGACGGGAGTGTTGCTATATTGCCCAGGCTAGAATGCAGTCTAAAAATGGGTAAGCTTATACTTGCGCTTAATAATGGAGACATGAAAAAAATGAGGGAAGAAAATAACAAACAGGCAGCCAACCAATATTGCATTTAAGCCTGTAAGTAGGTATGATGTGGTACTGATAAGAGTGTATATTTTGTGTATTTAAAGTGGAGAGTTCTATAAGTGTTAATTAAGTTTACTTGCTCCGGATCTGAGTTCAAGTCTCGGATATCATTGTTAATTTTCTGTCTCATTGATCTGTCTAATATTAATGTTGAAGTCTCCCACTATTATTGCGTGGGAGTCCAGGTCTCTTTATAAGTTTTATATATCTGGGTATTCAGGTATTGGGTGCGTATATATTTAGGATCTTTAGCTCTTCTTGTTGCATTGACCCTTTTATCATTATATAATGTCCTTCTTTGCTTCTTTTGATCTTTGTTACTTTAAAGACCACTTTATCAGAGGCAAAAATGGCAACTCCTGCTTTTTGTTTATTTATTTATTTTTGCTCTCGGTTTGGTTGGTAAATCCCTCTCCATCCCTCTGTTTTGAGTCTTTGTGTATCCTTGCATATGAGATGGGTCTGGATGCAGCATACCGATGGGTTTTTCCTTTTTATCCAATTTGCCTGTCTGTGTCTTTGGATTGGGGGATTTAGTTGATTTAAATTTGGAGTTAATAATAATATATATGAGTTTAATACTGCCATTTAATGTTAGCTGGCTGTTTTGCCCATCAGTTGATGCAAATTCTTCACTATGTTGATGGTCTTTACTTTTTGGTATTTTCTTTAGAAAGGCTGATACTGTTTGTTCCTTTCTATGTGTAGTGGTTCTTTCAGAAGCTCTTGTAAAGCAGGCCTGGTGGTGATGAAATCTCTGAGTGCTTGCTTGTTCACAAAAGATTTTATTTTTCCTTCACTTATAAAGCTTAGTTTGGCTGGATGTGAAATTCTGGGTTGAAAGTTCTTTTCTTTAAGGATGTTGAATATTGGCCCCCACTCTCTTCTGGTTTCTAGGGTTTCTGCTGAGAGATCTGCTGTGAGTCTGATAGGTTTCCCTTTGTGGGTAACCTGACCTTTCTCTCTGGCTGCCCTTAGTATTTTCTCCTTCATTTTGACCCTGGTGAATCTGGCGATTATGTGCCTTGAGGTTGGTCTTCTTGAGGAATATCTTTGTGGTGTTCTCTGTATTACCTGGAGTTGAATATTGTCCTGTCTTGCTAGGTTGGGAAAATTTTCCTGAATAATATCCTGAAGCGTATTTTCCAGCTTGGATTCATTCTCTTCATCACATTCAGGTACATCTACCAAGCATAGATTAGGTCTTTTCACACAGTCCCACATTTCTTTTTTTCTTTTTTTTTTTTTTTTTTTGAGATGGAGTTTTGCTCTTGTTACCCAGGCTGGAGTGCAATGGCGCGATCTCGGCTCACCACAACCTCCGCCTCCTGGGTTCAGGCAATTCTCCTGCCTCAGCCTCCTGAATAGTTGGGATTACAGGCATGTGCCACCATGCCCAGCTAATTTTTTGTATTTTTAGTAGAGATGGGGTTTCACTATGTTGACCAGGATGGTCTCGATCTCTCGACCTCATGATCCACCCGCCTTGGCCTCCCAAAGTGCTGGGATTACAGGCTTGAGCCACTGCGTCCGGCCGTCACAGTCCCATATTTCTTGGAGACTTTGCTTGTTCCTTTTTATCCTTTTTTCTCTAATCTTGTCTTCTTGTTTTATTTCATTAAGTTGGTCTTCAGCCTCTGATATTCTTTCCTCTGCTTGATCAATTCGGCTATTAAAACTTGTGCATACTTTGTGAAGTTCTTGTCTTGTGTTTTTGGCTCCATCAATTCACTTACATTCGTCTCTAAATTGTGTATTTTTGTTAACATTTCGTCAAACCTTTTTTCAAAGTTCTTAGTTTCTTTGCATTGGGTTAGAACAAGTTCTTTTAATTCACAGAAGTTTCTTATCTTCCACCTTTTAAAGCCTGCTTCTGATAATGGAGCCCACTCGTTCTCCATCAGGCCTTGTTCCATTGCTGATGAGGAACTGTGATCCCCTGTAGAGGGAGAGGCGTTCTGGTTTTGGTTATTCTCAGCCTTTTTAGGCTGGTTTCTTCCCTTCATTTTAGATTTATCCATCTGTGGTCTTTATAATTACCGTCTACAAAGATTGGATTTCTGAGTGGACGTCCAACTTGTTGATTCGCAACGCCGGAATCTGAGCAACCCACTGCGCCGGCTAAAACAGCGGCATTAAATTTGATGGTGCTTTTCTGACTCTGCACCAAGAACCGCCGCACCAAGGTGCCCGCAAAACCGCCTCACCGGCCACAAGAGTCATGTTGGTGATCCATGGGGCTCCTCTGCTGGGAATCTCCTGATGTGTGAGCAAGAAGAATTCATCTGAAAGTGTGACGTTCTCTCATTCTCTACGCTTTCACTGGGAGCTACAATCCCGAGCTGCTAGTGATCAGCCATCTTGGATCTCTCCCTCGGTGTCACCTTGTTAAATTTCATCTTTGGGTGTTGTGATAGGCTGTATAATGGCCATCCAAAGATATCGGGTGCTAATTCTGAAAACCTGTAAATGTTACCTTATATGGAAACAGGGTCTTTATAGGTGTAATTTAGTTAAAGATCTTGAGATGTGAAGATTATCTTGAATTAACCTTGTGGGGCTTAAATCCAATCACAAATATCTTTATACAAGAGAAGCAGAGGGTGATTCCCCACAGAGTTTTGTAGAAAACAGAGACACAGAGGAGAAAGCAATGTGACTATGGAGACAGAGATTAGAGTGATGTGGACACAAGCCAAGGAATGCCAGCAGCCACCAGAGGGGCAAGAAACAGATTCTTCCCCAGAGCCACCAGTGGTAGTACAATCATGTAGCCCTCTCAATTTCTGACTATTGAAACTGATGTTGGACTTGTGGCCTCCAGAACTGTGAGAAAATGAATTTCTCTTGTCTTAAATTACCAAGGTGTGGTAATTTGTTGCAGCAGCCCTAGGAAACCGTTACAAAGAGACTGTTCAAAGTTTTCATACCCTGTTCAACTCCATGCAATTGACTTGAGTCTCTATTTTGGAACAGATAGATTCAGAAGAACCTAAGGTTTATCCATAAAAATTCTCCAGAATGGAAAATGGTTAAAATGCTGAGATTCCAAGCAACACTTCTTTTCTTCCTCCTTCTCCTCCTCCTTCTCCTCCTCCTTCTCCTTTCTTCTTCTCCTTCTCCTTCTCCTTCTCCTTCTCCTTCTCCTTCTCCTTCTTCTTCTTCTTCTTCTTCTTCTTCTTCTTCTTCTTCTTCTTCTTCTTCTTCTTCTTCTTCTTCTTCTTCTTCTTCTTTCTTCTTTCTTCCTTCTTCCTTCTTCCTTCTTCCTTCTTCCTTCTTTCTTTCTTTCTTTCTTTCTTTCTTTCTTTCTTTCTTTGTTTCTTTCTTCTTCTCCTTCTTCTTCTTCTCTTCTTCTTCTTCTTCTTCTTCTTCTTCTTCTTCTTCTTCTTCTTCTTCTTCTTCTTCTTCTTCTCCACTTTAAGCTCTGGGGTACATGTGCAGAACGTGCAGGTTTGTTACATAGGTATACACATGCCATAGTGGTTTGCTGCATCCAACACTCTGTTATCCAAGCACTTCTTTATCAAGACATCTGTTCTCTGAAAATTAATAGGGAACATTCTCAAGTTTAAAAGAGAAATGGTGCTGGGTACGGCAGCTCCCTGTATTTGGAGCTGCCATAATTGTCTCTACAAATACTTTTTAAAAAATTAGCTGGGCATGGTGGCATGACCCTGTAGTCACAGCTGCTCTGGAGACTGAGATGGGAGAATTGCTTGAGCCTGGGAGGTCAAGTGAGCTATGATCATACCACTGCACTCTAGCCTAGGTGACAGAGCAAGATCCTGTCTCAAAATAATAATGATAATAAGATAGAAATATTTAAATGGAATAGATATTGCTAATTCATGTTAAAAAATAAAAAAGTCTTAGCTGGGCGTGATGGCTCATGCCTGTAATCCCAGCACTTTGGGAGGCTGAGGTGGGCAGATCAGCTGAGGTTGGAAGTCTAAGACCAGCCTGACCAACACGGAGAAACACTATCTCTACTAAAAATACAAAATTAGCCGGGCAGGGTGGTACATGCCTGTAATCCCAGCTACTCGGGAGTCCGAGGCAGGAGAATCGCTTGAACCCGTGAGGCGGAGGTTGCGGTGAGCCAAGATTGTGCAATTGCACTCCAGCCTGGGCAACAAGAGTGAAACTCTGTCTCAAAAAAAAAAAAAAATATTGTCTCTGAATAAGCTAAAATGTACTGAATCTACCTAAGAAAAACTGGGAGCATACTGTGTATTTATTTGAATGCCTAAAACTCAAAACCTTATAGTAAAGAAGTGTTTTTCTTTTTTCTTTGCAGAAAGAACATTGGAGCTATCCTGTCTGGAAGTGTGTTTACAATCTAATTTCACCTATTCACTCTCCTCCTTAAACTTTTCCTTTGCAACTGTTCTGCAACCAGTGAGGGAAACTCAGATTATCATGAGAATCTTTTTAAATTCCTCCAATTTTCATAACGTCACCAGGACTTGCCAAGATATCACAGGTGAATTTAAAATGTGCTCCTTGTGTTTCATTTGTGAATCTAAAGGAAACATGGATTTTATTTCTCAGGAACAAACATCAAAAGGTAAACACAAAGTGAAGGTGAGAATAAAATGGTGTCAAGTATAAGTTAATTTATTCTGTTAAAAACATTACTAATACGTTCTTTTTATTTATTTATTTTTTGAGACAGAGTCTCTCACTGTCACCCAGGCTATAGTGCAGTGGTGCGATCTCGGCTCACTGCAACCTCCACCTCCCAGGTTCAAGAGATTCTCCTGCCTCAGCCTCCTGAGTAGCTGGGATTAAGAGGCGTATGCCACTATGCCTGGCTAATTTTTGTAGTTTTAGTAGAGACGAAGTTTCACCATTTTGGCCAGGCTGGTCTCGAACTCTTTTTTTTTTTGAGATGGAGTTTCGCTCTTGTTACCCAGGCTGGAGTGCAATGGCATGATCTCGGCTCACCGCAGCCCCTGCCTCCTGGGTTCAGGCAATTCTCTTGCCTCAGCCTCCTGAGTAGCTGGGATTACAGGCACACGCCACCATGCCCAGCTAATTTTTTTGTATGTTTAGTAGAGACGGGGTTTCATGATGTTGACCAGAATGGTCTCGATCTCTTGACCTCGTGATCCACCCACCTCGGCCTCCCAAAGTGTTGGGATTACAGGCGTGAGCCACTGCGCCTGGCCTTGGTCTCAAACTTTGACCTCATGATCCACCCGCTTCGGCCTCCCAGAGTGCTGGGCTTACAGGCATGAGCCACCACTCCCGGCTAATATATTCCATTTTTTTTTTTTTTTTTTTTTTTTTTTTTTTGAGACAGAGTTTTTTGCTCTTGTTACCCAGGCTAGAGTGCAATGGCGCGATCTCAGCTCACCGCAACCTCCGCCTCCTGGGTTCAGGCAATTCTCCTGCCTCAGCCTCCTGAGTAGCTGGGATTACAGGCACGCGCCACCATGCCCAGCTAATTTTTTGTATTTTTAGTAGAGACGGGGTTTCACCATGTTAACCAGGATGGTCTCGATCTCCTGACCTCGTGATCCACCCGCCTCGGCCTCCCAAAGTGCTGGGATTACAGGCTTGAGCCACCGCCCCCGGCCAATATATTCCATTTTTAAATCCAGTGACATCAGAACATTCAGTGGTGTGGCTCTTGATGAGCAACTCTCTGGGCTTTGAGATGTTACTTGTTTTTAGTTTACTTTGACTTACTGAAAACAAAGTATTCTTAAAATACATCAAAATGCCCTGTAATTCACATACATGTGATGGCCAGAGGATTATTTAGAATGTACTCTCTTCAAAAGTAGTAAGTCTTTAAAAAACAATTTTAAGTAAATCTGTGGTTTCTCATAGTAAAATCAAACTTCGATTCTCCAAGAAATCATTGAACCCTTGCATTTATACCTACTCCTGCTTAACACGTAGTCATTGTCTGTGAAGTCTTTTTACTTCTCTGACTCTCCAGTGACCCTCTTGAGGGCAGGGCCTTTGTCTTTGTTTACTACTACATCTCAAGCTTTGTGCACAGTGCCTGACATAATACATAGTAGACACTCAGTAAATTTTTGTTGAATAAATGAATGAACAAATAAAGAATAACTACATATTTTCTGCAGTGCCTAACTGAAACTTGCAGTCATTATGAGATCAATTTATACTATTTAAACCAAATAAAAATGGATCATTGAGAAATTAAATAATTCCTTTATAATCATAAAATATGCTGATGGACTCAAGGCCAAGCATCACATTTATTACCTGTATTTATTCAGTGAGAGAGATTGCCTCCTATATTACTAGATATTAGCTTTTTTTTTTTTTTTTTTTTTTGAGATGGAGTCTTGCTCTGTCTCCAGGTTGGAGTGCAGTGGCGCGATCTCGGCTCACTGTAACTTCTGCCTCCCCGGTTCAAGAGAGTCTCCTGCCTCAGACTCCCAAGTAGCTGGGACTACAGGTGTGCCACCACGCTCAGCTAATTTTTGTATTTTTAGTAGAGACCAGGTTTCACCATGTTGGCCAGGATTGTCTCAATCTCCTCACTTTGTGATCTGCCCGCCTCAGCCTCCCAAAGTGCTGGGATTACCGGCATGAGCCACGGCGCCCAGCCCTTTTTTGGCATTATTTGAGAATGATAACACAATTTCTTGGCATTTACCTTATTTTTCTGTTGCTGTTTTCAAGTACTTATTAGGCATTTCTGTAGCTCCTCTTTTAAAAAATATTTTATCATTATCGATTCAAGGGGTACATGTGCAAGTTTGTTACATGGATATGTTGTATAATTGTGAGGCTTGGGCTTCCAGTGCCCCCATCACCCAAATAGTGAACATTGTATCCAATAAGTAATGTTTCAACCCTCATCCCTCTGCCCCTCTGCACTAACTTTGGATGAAGCTCTTGTTCAAGTAGTGCCGTAACTCTTCCAAGTTCTGGGCTGAATTCAAAGGAAGGCAAATTGTGAAAATGCCTCTGTGGTGACAGAGAACTAGGAAGTGTTTTAAGGGTTGATAGCTCACAGATCTTCCTTCTCTGCCTCCTTGAAAGGTGAAAACAGGCCTAGTGCGGTGGCTCACACCTGTAATCCCAGCACTTTGGGAGGCCGAGGTGGGTGGATCATGAGGTCAGGAAACCAAGACCATCTTGGCCAACATGGTGAAACCCTGTCTCTACCAAAAGACAAAAAGTTAGCCGGGCGTGGTGGTGCGTGCCTATAGTCCCATCTGCTCAGGAGGCTGAGACAGGAGAATTGCTCAAATCCGGGAGGTGGAGATTGCAGTGAGCTGAGCTCGTGCCACTGTACTCCAGCTTGACAACATAGCGAGATTCCGTCTCAAAAAAACAGAGATTACAGGCATGAGCCGCTGCGCCCAGCATATGTTGTCTTTCTACTTGGGCTAATTTGGGTGTCTTCACATCATAGTGGCCTTAAGGTGTTGGACTTACATATCATGGTTCAAGGCTCCAGGACTGTTTGAAGCCTAGAGATGTGAGACAAACTTTTTTTTTTTTTTTTTGCGACAGAGTCTTACTCTGCTGCCCAGGCTGGAGTGCAGTGGTGCAATCTTGGCTCTACCTCCCAGGTTCAAGCAATTCTCCTGCCTCAGCCTCCCAAGTAGATGGGACCTACAGGCACATGCCACTATGCCCGGCTAATTTTCGTATTTTTAGTAGAGACAGGATTTCACCATGTTGGCCAGGTTGGTCTTGAACTGACCTCAGGTGTTCCACCCGCCTTGGCCTCCCAAAGTACTGGGGTTGCAGGCGTGAGCCACTGCATGAGAAAGCCACTTCTGTTCTTTAAGGCCCCCAGTTTATGGTACTTTGTTACAGTAGCCCTAGAAAACTACTACACTGTGGGATGGGAAATGTTGTGACCACATTGGTCACACAATACAGTCTGTCTCACAAGTCACTGGGGAAATGTGTGTATTTTCTTTAAGATGCTCCAATCCTATTCCAACACTACCACTAACTGGTTTTCATGATCTTAAAAAATATAAACACTTTAATAATTATTTTTAGGTTGGCTGCAGTGGCTCATGCCTGTAATCCCAGCACTTTGGGAGGCCAAGGAGGGAGGATCCCTTAAGTCCAAAAGTTGGAGACCAGCCTGGACAGTATAGCAAGACCCAATCTCTATAAAAAATTTAAAAAATAGCCAAGCATAGTGGCACACACCTGCAGTCCCAGCTACTCAGGAGGCTAAGGGGGGAGGATTGCTCGAGCATGGAGAGTGAGACTGCAGTGAGCCATGATTACACCACTGCACTCTAGCCTGGGCAACGGAGTGAGATCCTGTCTCAAAAATATGTATATATTTTTAATGTAAATAACTTCTTGTTTCTACTTTCTTGTACAGAAAGGAAGAGATTTAGTTTTGAATTGTATGTGTTTTCTTGCTATGTGTTAATATTTTGCAAATAACATTTTTTCACTTTCTAGTTCTTATCAGGAGAGGATCAATGGAAGTGAAAGCAAATGATTTTCGTTCACCTTGTCAGCACTTTAACTTCACTGTAGCTCCCCTAGTTGACCACTTGGAGGAATATAACACTACCTGTCATCTAAAAAACCACACTAGAAGATCAACAATCATGGAGGAAGAGCCCAGCAAAGAGAACTCTATAACCCATCCTTGTAGAATCATGGAATACTCGAATGAGTGTATACACATTTCTTTGCACCTAGAGATGGATATAAAAAGTAAGTTTTTAAGGAAACTAGAGGGAAAAGAAGTTATCAGATAGAGACACATAAAATTCAGAAAGGGCTATCACATTAACTGGAAGCTGAAGAGCTGGAGAATTTTACTGATGAAAACGTATAGCCTGTAAGAACGTTAGTCCATTTATCCGTTTATTTTTCCCTCAAAGTATGCTTTTTATGGGGCCTACCTATAATTCGAGAAAGGGGAGGCATTTATGGGTCATGATCTGGAAAGACCTTCTGCCCCAGAATACATTTTTTGTTGTTGTGATGGCGGTTGTGGTGGTTGTTTGAGACAGGGTCTGTCGCCCAGGCTGGAGTGCTGTGGCATGATCACAGCTCACTGTAGCCTTGACTTCCCAGTTTTGGGTGATCCTCCCACCTCAGCCTCCTGAGTAGCGGGGACTACAGGTGTGCACCTCCACACCCGGTTAATTTTTTGTATTTTTATTTTGCTGTATGAGGAGTGCAAGCCTGGCAGCCGAATAGCATGGAATAATCTTGGGAAGGCTGAGTGCTGCCATCCCAACCCACCTCTGCCCTTTCTCTACTTAGCCGTCTCTCTAAATGAATGTTGAATGCCTATTTAGTGTACAACTGGGTTCCTGCGAAGGGAACACCTAGGTTATGAACCTCACAAAGGCAGTCATCCAAGAGAATAAACACGGTGTACATCCTGTTAAGGTGAACAAGTACTAGCTGTGTTTTGTATACAAAGAAGAGCATACACAGGGTGGCTTAGAAAGTCAGTAGATAGTTGTGTGTTGGCTATGATGAGACTACCCTTGTGTAAGTCACCGATTCCTGGTTCTGCTTGCCAGTGTGTCTTTGTGAGACCCCAGGAGACCATGCTAAGCTATTGCTGCATGGTGACCGCCCTTCCCATGTTGCCTCATTGTGATCTGAATGAATGAGTTTATACCTGTATCCTTATTAAATTTAGGCCAGGGCAGCTACGTTTAATTAACACATGCACTTGATCTGACCATTGGCCTGTAAACCACTGTACTTACCGTCTATTACCCTGTGGAAAGAGGATCTGATTATTCATCGTCCTGGCCACTTATGTCTCAGACCAGTCTTTTGACTTTGCCTGCCATTCTCTTTCTTCCCCATCCTCCTTGTACTCCCTGCATCTTTCAACAAAGAATTCGAAGTTGCGAATTCTAAATGGCTCTGATGCTGGGACTGCTATGTTGCAGTCTTACCCTAGTTACAGTGATGACAGTGAAACTAATATCAGCATAACCTGTAAGTGAAATGAATCCTAGAATTTTGGAACCAAACGGATACCTGGAAGCTACCTGCTCAAGTTTTCCTATTTAATACCTTGATTTAATATATCAAGAAAGAATTCAGGAGAGCTAGTGACCCCGTAACAGTGATGGTCATAATTTCAGCTTTTCAGTTCAGGGCGGAATGTTTTGTAGAACTCAGCTAAGCTGCCACATTGTCTTTTATCTGTTGAATAATTTTATTGGGTTTTTAGAGTATTTGTTTTCTTTGCAGGTATCACTTGTTCCATGAAGATCATTTGGTATGTTTTAGTTCTATTAGTTGTTATATTTTTGATTGTCCTCATTATCTGCAAAATACTTGAAGGCCACAGAAGAGTGCAGAAGTGGCAGAGTGAGTAAAATCCATGTAGTGCCTAGGAACTCCTAATCTCTTCTATTTTTGGTTCAATTTAGCATTTATTTTGCACCTACTGTGTATAAGTGGCAATTCTAGGTAATCCAAGGAATAGAAGCATAGATAAGACACAGTTCCAGCATGAAAGGAGCTTTGTTCATCTTTCTTCTACTCTGACAAGTGAGTAGGAAAGGAATAAAGACTGGGTGAATAGGGAGAAGCTCATGGGCTGGACATTGAGCAGGGCTTAGTGGAAGTGAGGGCAGAAGAGAGAAGAACAGAAGTAGGGATAAAGAATTTTAGGTCAGGTGGGGTGGCTCATGCCTGTAATCCCAGCACTTTGGAAGGCCAAGGCAGGCAGATCACCTGAGGTCAGGAGTTCGAGACCTGCCTGGCTAACATGGTGAAACCCCGTCTCTACTAAAAATACAAAATTAGTGGGGTATGGTGGTGTGTGCCTATACGCTCAGCTACTTGGGAGGCTGAGGCATGAGGATCGCTTGAACCTAGGAAGTGGAGGCTGCAGTGAGCCAAGATTGTGCCACTGCACTCCAGCCTAGGCAAAAGAGTGAGACTCCATCTCAGAAACGAGAATTTCAGAGTTGGCGATCTTGACCAGAGTGGCTTTAGGTGACGAGTGTGAAGCAGAGTCGATCTTTAATGAGCATGGGGGTTATCAGATTTTTGGTAGGGCAGAGCTAAAAGAAATTAGAAATTAGGACAAAAAGCTTAACTTGGACTTTCAAGATGGCTGCCTAAGAACAGCTCAGGACTTCAGCTCCCAGTGAAAGTGCAGAGGGTGAGTGGACGCCGCATTTCCAGACGA